TCGATTCCGGATTTTTTCAACATCGATTCTGGTATTTTTCAAAAAGTAGGCCGGACATGTTCAAAAACGTTCCCAGGGTTTTCCAAATTTACCCCTGGAGAATTTCCCAGAGTCGCGCGTGATTTGCCATGCCAGGTTTTTGGAAATCTGCCGAGGCGCGCAGTGCGCGGCGGCGGGCGATGGGACGGTGCGCCACAGTCCCCCCCGCGCTCGGCAACGAGAAGGGGGATCAGCAACTGCCAAATAGCCCCCTACGGGCGACCACTCGATTGCGAATGGGTGACCGACCAGCGGCGCCAGCCAGAGTAGACAATACTCGACGCAAAGTGTACCCCGCGCGACGGCCGTTAGAAATCTTGGAATCCCCAGAACGTATCAATAGCACGCTGTGTCAATATATTATTCTCGTCCTGGAGAAGGAGGAGGGACGGAGGAGGAGGAGGAGGAGGAGGAGGAGGAGGAGGAGGAGGGGGAGGAGGAGGAGGAGGAGGAGGGGGAGGAAGAGGAGGAGGAAGAGGAGGAGGGAGGAGGAGGGAGGAGGAGGGGGAAGATGGAGACGAGGAGGGAGGAGGGAGGGAGGGAGGGAGGAGGGAAGGAGGGAGGGAGGGAGGGAGGGAGGGAGGAGGAGGAGGAGGAGGAGGAGGAGGAGGAAGGAGGTTGGAGGAGGAGGACCAGGAGGAGGAGGAGGAGGAGGAGCAGTAGGAGGAGGAGGCCACGCCGGGAGGAGAGGTAGAGGGTCTTCCTGCGGGCGCATCGGCCTGTCCTCGCCTTTTCTCCTCGCCGTCGCCTCTGGTCGTCTTGAGAGCGTCGGCGCGAACGTCTCTAGCCATGTCTGGTCCCTGTTGTTACGCTGCATCTTCGGGCCCCTATCGTCCTGTGGTGTTCTGGTCTTCGTTTCGAATTCGCAGCGCCGCGCTCTGCTCCTCCTCCCGCTGCACCTTCCTCCCTCCTCTCATCCCTGCCTCTGCCCTCCGCATCTTACTTCCGCCATACTACTCACAGGGATCGTAGCCCAATTGGGAGCTCCACCGAAGGACCCAGCGGCAGGGTCCGCATGCGTCCCCACTCCGCCAACTTTGGCACACCTCTCGCGAGGATTTGTGGCCCCACAGGGAGCTCCACCGAAGGCCCCAGCGGCAGGGTCCGCATGCGTCCCCCCGCCTTCTGTTGCACACCCCTCCAAAGGATCGTGGCCCCATAGGGGGCTCGACCGAAGGACTCAGAGACAGGGTCTGCATGCATCCTCCCTCCCATTTCGGCCCACCTCTCACAATGATTGCGTCCACATAGGAATCTCCACCGAAGGCCTCAGTGGCAAGGCCCGCATGCGTACCCCTACCGATTCCGGCACACCCCTTGCAAGCATCGTGGCATCACAGGGAGCTCCACCGAAGGCCTCAGTGGCAGGGTCTGCATGCGCACTCCCGCCCAATTCGGCGCACCGCTCACGAGGATCGTGTTCCCAAATGTAGCTCCACCGAAGGCCTTATTGGCAGGGTCTGCATGCGTTCCCCTGCCCATTTCGGCCGACCTCTCACGAGGTTGTGGCCCCACAGGGAGGACCACCGACGGCTCCAGTTGGACGGTCCGCTTTCGTCTCTAGGCGCATTTGGAACACCTCTCACCGGGATCGTGGCCGTAAAGGAAACTGCACCGACGGCCCCAGTGGCAGGGTTCGCGCGGCGCCGCCTTCGCCATGACATGCGCCCCAGTCTTTCCTTTTGTTCGTCGCCGCCCTTCTTCTCGCTTGCCTCGCGGCACTCGCAGCTGCATCTGGTTGGGCCCTTCGCCAGGATAACTTCTTGTGCTCGCCGCGGGTTCGCGACGGATTCGACGCGGATCGGACGTGAATTCGACGCGGATTCGACGTCGATTCGGCGCGCATTCGACGACGACATGGATTCGACACGGATTCGACGCGGACAACGGCGGGGATTGACATACATACAAGTTCCCCCGCAGATGCGTGTTTCAATACATGGTTGGCAGAGCCATCAGGGGGGGCCATTCAACGCGTTTGTCCTCTCTTCTTCTCCTTGGGTCCCCAGGCATGTGCGAGCACACCCTGCGACTCACGGCGCTTAGGAGGCACGGGAATTGGTTTCCGTGCCTCGGCCGCGTGCGCAGGTCGGCTTTGCTACGCTGCCGTGGCCACGCCAGTGTTAGTTCATCTGCACGGACCATGGCCTCGCGTCTTGGCTCACCTGTCGCAGGTTGGTCCACATGTGGTTCCAAGTTTGCAGAGTACCCGCCACGGTGGGCAAGCCGTGCTGCCCAGGCCCACCCGCTCCGCTAGGGTGTACAGCGTGGTCAGTGGCATTTTCTGGTCTGAGGTGAGCGTTGCCACTGACGTTCGCGGAGGCAACGCCCCCCACCATCCCGCTGCCGCGCACTCCCCTGTGCTGGCCAGGGTCGTGGGTGCCCTACCCTCTCCCCCTAATTCGGTGCAGGTGGCCTGTCTTGGACACGGCGCGTCGGCGCCCGCTCGCTCGGCCAGCGCCCGCCGGACAAAAAAAAAAAGGTTCCAGGTTTGCCTAGTGCATGTGGTCGGGCACCAGTGAGGTGTGTGTTGAGTACACACATGTGAGGTCCCCCTAAGATGCCACAGGACTGGTGGCCGTTCTTCTGGGCTCAAAGCCAGCTGGGCTCAGGAATCGGGCGCCGGAAAGGTTCCCGGTGCGGCGCGATGGTACATCGCGGTGCATCCCCGCCTCACTCCTTACGCGTCTGATGTCAGCATGCGTGTGCGTCGTAGTGTGAGGCGTTTCGACTTGGGCTTGGGAGCCCAGGAGCGCAACAGCTCCTCCGCAGGCCGGCGGAAACGCACCAAGGGCGTGCCCGCTGGCTGACGCTCGGCGGCAGCTGGCGGAATGCAAAGTTGACCCCGCAGAAGGGGTCACAGTTGGCGGAGGGAAGGTTTCCTGGAGACGTCCATGCGTTGTGGGCCCGTGGATTTCCAGTGCGCGGAAAGCGCTCTCTGACCCTCGCCAAATTGCAGACGTATTTTGAGGGAGGTTGTAACACTACGGCGAGCGGAGGCATGGCTGGAGGTGGGGGATCCGATCCTTATGCCGCTTCTGCATTGGAGAGACCTGTCTGCCAGTGCCGCCGACCGCGAACGACGACGGCGACGAAGCTGATGTGGATCAGGGACCCAGGGATGTTTCTTGGGGTCTCTTCGGGGTGGTCTCGGGGGCCTCCGGGTGGTAGGTTGGGGGACACTTGGGGGCCTGTTGGGAGGCTCCTGGGGGCCTCGTGGGTACGCGCAGCGCGTTCTCCGACCCTCGCCAAATGTTAAATGCGTTCTGAAGAAAAGCTGCAACATCACGGCGGGCGGAGCCATGGCTGGAGGTGGGAGAACAGATCTCAGGATTCCGTTTCTTTCTTCGCTTGGCACGCGGCAGAACACGGGATCGACCGCGGACGTTCGCGCGTGAGCTGCCTCCGCGTGGGGGCGCGGGCAAGCGCCCTCTCCTCCTCGCGATGTGCCGCGCGGGCGGGCGGCGCAAAGTCGCTGCGGAAAGTCGCTGCGCCACCTGGCGTCGGACCAAAATATTCTTGCCGGCGCTCTGCCAGGGGCTGCCCTGTGGCCTGGCCGCCCCGCGCGCCCCCCCCGCGGCGGCCTCGCCGCGTGAGTCACCACCCACCAAACCGCCCCACCCCAACCCGAAGCCCTCAATTTGCCCTCCATTTCCAGCGGGGGAGGGTCGGGGAACGTTGAACAAAATACATGGAACCCGTACCCCCCCAACCCGAAATTGGGGTCAAATTCGGGGTCCTCGGGTTGGGTTGGGATGGTCTGGTAGGTTGTCAGTGAGTGTGCCCTCCTTTCCCGCGTCCCGTCGCTGCGGCCGCCCCTCTGCGTTTCCCCTCCTCCTTGCACGCGGGCCACTTCGCTCCACCGTGGCCCCGGGGTTGCTTGTGGACGCGCATGGGGGCTGCCTCTGCCGCGCTGCGACGTGATGCAAGATCTCGTCGCTCGGACGTCTGCATTTTTCCGCCCGTTGGAGGTGGCGCCTCCAGCCTCGATGCGGGGCGATCCTGGCCCCCTCCGGGAAGCCCTCGGCGAGGCGCGATTTTTGGTAGCAAATCATGAGAGCCTGGTACATCCTTTAAATTCCGTCTCTAGCCTCGAGTAGCGTCGAGTAGCGATTGGGGGTCGATAAGATAGCACCGATCAAGCGTCGGTTAGCATCGATTCGCGTCGATTTAGCGTCGACTAGCGCCGACTAGCGTCGATTCAGCGTCGACTTACCGTCGAGTCGCAAAAGGCGGCAAGATGGTATGGGAGGCTCCTGGGATTTGTTGCCGGAGCGACTGCTGGAGAGCATCCCGTAGCGAGAGGGCCTCCAAGGGCCAACCAAAATTTTGGAAAACCTTGATCGTCGATCGCTCCCTCCAGAGGAGGGGGGACGCCGCCGTAGTCGTCGTCGCCGCCGCCGCAGCAGTCTTCGCCGCCGCCGCCGTCGTCGCCGCCGTCGTCGTCGTTGTCGTTTTCCAGACCATCCTCTGGTGTTGGCTCCTCGCTTTGGAGAGAGCGCCCCGCGTCCACTCCGTCCTTCGTTCATCTCGCTGCCCCCTCCTCCCTCCTCCCATCTCTGCCCCTGCCCTCCGCACGCACACTTCGGCACGCCACTCAAACGTTGCGTGGCCCCGTAGGAAGCTCCACCGAAGCTCTGACGGGTGTCGCGTGCGGTTCTTACCCATGCCGTCGCACCCCTCACAATCGTCGTGGCCACACAAGGCACTCCACCGAGGCCCTCGTGAGAGGGGGTTCGCATGCAGTTGTTACCCATGTTGGTGCAATCCTCCAAGTTTCGTGGCTCCACGGGGAGCTTCACCGAAGGCCCCCAGGATGGAGGGGCCGCATGCGGTTCCTCATCCATTTCGGCACACCCCATCACACGTTTCCTGGCCCCACAGGGAGATCCACCGAAGCCTCCAGGAGGGGGGGGAGCACGCGGTTCTGACCCATTTTGGCACACTGCTCGCACGTTTCGTGGCCCCACGGGGGGCTCAACCGAAACCTCCATGAGACAGCTTCTGCATGCGATTCCCCACCCATGCCGGCACGCCGCTCACGCACTTCGTGGCCCCCCGAAGGGAGCTCCACTGCAGGCCCCAGTGACACAGCTCACCTGCGTCCCCAGGCCCATTTGCGGCAAACCTCTCGCACGCTGCGCTTCGTGGCCCCATAGGGAGCTCCACCGAAGTCGCTGCTGCGAATGCGGTACGCACCACTGCAGATGGTTTAGGGGAACGAGCAATGACACAAACATAAGAACTCGGAGGTCCGCGCGGATTTCTCGGATCGGCGCTGGAGGACCTCCGAGTTCTTCTGTTTAGGTCATTATTCGTTCCCCTATCGCTGGTCGGGACGACCGCCATGGGTACGGAAAGAATGGGTACAAAGACCGACAGCAGCCCCTGTTCATTTTGAACAGGACTCGCTGTCCGCGCCGCCGCGGCCTGTGTCCATTTGAGACAGAAGGCCGCCTGCCCAACAGCGGCCGCTGCTGGTTTGGGGCAACATTTGCTGTTGGGCATTGTGCCCATGTTTTCCGTGCCCATTTCGGGCGTCCAAAGCTGGGTCCCTCGCAGGCAGCGTGCCCTTCGCTCCCCTGCCGCCCGTGCCCTGCGCGAGGGCTCCGCCGCTGCCGGCGGCGAGGCAGGCCCTTGCGGGGGGGCCGTTCGAGGTCTCGGAGGCGCCGCCGCCGCCATGCAGTGGGGAGCCCATGCGAATCAGCTCCCTGCTCTCCTCTGGGGTGCCCTGGGTCTCTTGGGTTTCGATGGTTTTGCGATGGAAGTCTGGAGCTACGGAAGGGATGTGGCACAACGGGGTGTGGTGCCAATCGTGGAATGGAGATGCTATTCACGATAGGTACCACTGCCAGGTTCAGCATTGGCACCACACCCCTTTATGCCACACCGCTCTTCCGACCTCCGGAGGGAAGCGCGACGTTCCCACACCGAAGCTCGATGGACGCCATGGGGTCTCAGGGGTTGGGTCTCGTGTGGAAGATTCCTCGTGGTCGGGCCCCTCTACTGTACCCCTGTCGCGCCGCGACCAACAACAAAACTCACGGCGGCAGATTTTTGCCAGTGGTTTTGGCCTCCAGGAGGGGGGCCCTGCCTGGGCCCCGTCAGTCGACGGCACGCAAGGGTGACCCTTCGCCGGAGTGACCCTTTGGTGCGCGCCCACCTGGGGTCCCCCGATCGCCGCGCTCAGTGTCGGGGGTGGACAGAACCCCCAACAGTGACACGTCGATTAGTGAATTGTCCGTTTTCGGTTTTCGAGAGGGCGCCGTGGCCGTTATTTTCCAGGCTTGCGCCCGCCAGGTTTGGGCCCGAAGTCGTTTTCACTAAACCACGTTTTACTAAAGGGAGGTCTGCCCATCCCCGACAGTGCGATAGTAGCGTCTTGCGCGCTTGTGTTTGGCCTCCTCGCGCCTCCCAAGAAGCCGCGCACCAAAGGTCACTCTTGGCCAGGGTCACTCTCACGTGCAGCCGATTCAGGGCTTCCCAAACACTGCTCAGGAGGAGACGCCGGTCCCGGGGCAGGGGTCGAGACGTCCCCGGGGGCTCAGGTGGTAAGACATCTCTCAGGAGGGGACAAAAACACACAGACACAATTAATCGTCGATTCCCCAGAAAATATAGGAAAATATGGGAAGTGGGGGGGAAGACAAAAACCCCGAAAATATCGGAGGTGAGGGGGTGAGATCGAAGTGGAACGGAGAGCCTCCCTACCGGGAAATCGATTTCGGTTTCGTGCTCGTGCGTGCCGTGCGGGCGAGGCGAAGCTGCGTGGGCGGGCGAGAGAAAGTCTCCTGTGGCTGAGGCGCGGCCGGACCAAATGATTCCCTTCCGGGCGGCCGGGGCCCCGCGGTGTCCCGCCGGTGTCCCGCTGGTGTCCCGTGTGGCTGAGGCGCGGCCGGACCAAATGATTCCCTTCCAGGGCGGCCGGGGCCCCGCGGTGTCCCGCCGGTGTCCCGCCGGTGTCCCGTCCGTGTCCCGTCGGTGTCCCGATGATGATGTTGATGATGATTATGATGATTATGATGATGATGATGATGATGATGGTGATGATGATGATGATGATGATGATGATGATAATGATGATGATGATGATGATGATGATGATGATGATGATGATGATGATGATGATGATGATGGTGATGATGATGATTATGATGATGATGATGATGATGATGTTGATGTTGATGATGATGATGCTGATGATGATGATGATGATGATGATGATGATGATGATGACGTCGATTGCGAGATCGATTGTGATATCGGTAGTGAGACCGAATGTGAGATCGATAATGAAATTGATAGTGAGATCGATAGTCATATCGAATGTGAGATCGATTGTGAGATTGATTGTGATATCGATTGTGAGATCAATAGCGAGACCGAATGTGAGATCGATTGTGAGATCGATTGTGAGATCGATTGTGAAATTGATAGTCAGATCGATTGTGAGATCGATCGGTCGAGGTCGATTGTGAGATCGGTAGTGAGTTCGATCGTAAGATCGATTGAGTGCGACGTTGCCCCCCCCCCCCTCGCCTCCTTATCACCCGAAGGGTGGTCGTATAGGTAGGAAAGTATGGGGCATTTGGTTGTTCGTGTCTATTTATTTGTGTGTCCCAGTTGCCCTTCAATCTCAACGGCACTGTGAAGCTGCCGAACGTTTCCGCTTTGGGGCCTCTTTCTGGCATTGCAGCGCTGCCCGCATCGGAGAGGGTTGGGTTCGCTGGGTCGTTGGCCATAGTGCCCGTGAGAGGAGTCCCCCTTCGAGCGGCGCTGGAAGACCTCCTGGGGCTCAGGCGGTGGCAAAGTCACGACGTCGGGTGCCGTGGGGGTTCCCTTGCGGCGGGGACCCGTATCCATGACCACCGCCGGGGGGGGGTCGATCCTCGGGGACTGCGGCAGGCGGTGGATGTGGATCTATTCGGGCCCTGGGCCGGCCAGTCGTGTCGATGTCCACCGCCTGCCGAGGTCCCCAGAGATCGATCCCCCAGGCAGTGGTCGCGGACAAGCCCCAGCCTCGCAGCAGCTTGCGTCTCAGGGTCACGCCGCATCGCCGTTGCATCAGCGATGCGGGTCGATGCGGAGGCTGATGTTCTCCACGCCGCCTGCGCCTCATACGTCGCAGACGTCGCCGGTGCATGCTACATGGAGACGGTGCGGCGCGATCCTCCGACTCCATTTGCTCAGACCCCATTTGGGATGCCCCCAGCTAGAAGCAAGCCCGTGTCGTGTCGACGATGCGGGTGGCCCGAGTCGGCCGATATCGAGCGATCTGTGCGATCGGCCGCATCGCTTACCCCACAGCTCTCACAGCATAGCTTACACCGCAAAGCTTGCACAGCACAACGTGCACTATCCTGAGTTTGCACCATGCTTCTTTCAAGACGTTGCTAGCACCACCGTTTTCCGGCAGCACGAATAATTCGCACCACAAAGCCCCACATAGCCTACACAACCAGGCTGCAATCCATTACTGCTCGGGTCCACGCTGGCAAACATCTGTTACTGCAGAGGCCTTGCGCCTGGTGCCGCCGACCCTGGAACAGGACCTTGATGCTGCAGGAGGTGTTCGGATGTGTTCGGGAAGGTTTGAAAGCTCCCAAGAGGTTTCCGAGCGTGCTATTGGATGTCTCCGTGATGCCGAAAGCCTTCGAACGGGGACCAAACATGGAGGTGGAGGAGGAGGAGGAGGAGGGGGAGGAGGACGAGGAGGAGGAGGAGGAGGAGGAGAAGGAGGAGGAGGAGGAGGAGGAGGAGGAGGAGGAGAAGGGGGGGAACGAGGAGGAGACTAAGCAGGAGGAGGAGGAGGAGGAGGAGGAGGGGAGGAGGAGGAGGAGGAGGAGGTGATGCTTTGGGGCCTTTGTTGCAGCATGTCTCTGAGGGCGCATGGTTACATTCCGAGGCCTACGTCGGACCTGCTTGGAGCAATCGTGCGACCGTTTTCAGCGTTCTCTGACCATCCTCGCCTGCTCTGAGGGCATCGTGGATTTTCTCGTGTGCAAGGCAACGCGATCATGGCCATGTTGGAAGCCACTTGGCTATTTCTCGGGAGCAATGTTGGCCGTCTCGGAGTGTATCCTGGGTCAGGTTAGCAGTTACGGAGGTCACTTTGAATCGTCTGGGGGCTGTATAAGGGCACTCCCGTGGCTTCTTGGGTTGACTGGGCGTCGCCGTGGAGGCACTCTGGGCTCTGTGAGGCCGTCGGGAGCTGGAACGGGCAAGGACGCCAGCATCATTCAAGGGCATGGTGAAGATCACTGACGCGAGACACTCTGGGAGGCCCTGGGAGCCTCTTGGGGTCGTCCTGGGGCTTCCTGGAGGGCGCCCTGCGGCTTCCTGCGAGCCTCTCGGCAGGCTCCTGGGGCCTCCCCGGGGCGTCTTGGGGGGCATGAGAGTCGACACGTCGGTGAGCGTCCGCGCTCCGGGCCGCTCCTGGGACGCTCTGGAGGCGTCACGAGGGCGTCTTGGGCAGCGACTCCGGGCTCTCTCGGGCTCCTCGCGGGCAATCTCCGAGCGGGCTTGGCCGAAGGCGCCCCCAGGAGTGCAGGGGGGGAGAGGGCACATTCTGTTCGAGGACCCCCCCCCCAGGAACCCCCTTCCACCCCCCCCCCCCCCCGGGTGGGGAAGGGGTCAAGGGAGGGGCTTCCCTGCGATCCAATGTCGACCCCCCAGGACCCCCGTTGCAGGACCCCCCCCAGGACCCCCTTTCCCCTCCCGATGCGGGGAAGGGATCCGAAGGGAGGGGCTTCCCTGCGATCGAATGTCGACTGCTGTTGCGACCTGGCCCGGTCGTATCTGAGGACCACCTGGGGACGACGGACCCAGCACTCCCCCCGCACACGCCGACAGGATCGGCGGATTTGTTCGGGGAACCACTACTGGCGGTCATGTTCTGTCACGCGCTGTCGCTCCAGCGTCGAAATGTTGTCATCGGGCCCGCTTTTTGTGTCTCGCCGTCCCGCAAATGGCGGCGTTTGTTAAGGAGTAGTCCTAGGAGGCGCCAGACCCTGGAGGATTCCTTATCTGATGAGGGCGGCGGTGATATCCATGGCCAATCCACGATTGGCGTTCCACCAGCTTCCAGACCCTGGATTCCATATCTACTCGTTCCAGTTGGGATGTGCCCGTTGATTAATGTTAAGGCTGAAGCTTGTCAGCCACTCCTTTCGTTGAAGGTGTGTTGGAAGTGGGCTCATGTTTTGTATTGTGCCTACGGTGTTTTGTCAAGTTTCTGGCACACCCTTGTATGAGTTGTGCAAAGGTGTTGTTTTATGTGCCTATGTGTACATGTGCGTATTGGTTTGAGTATTTGGTCCATGCGTCGAACAATCGGCCCCGCTGCATCTGGAGGTCCATGCACGTTTCATTATGCCCGTGTTTGCATACACGGCCAGGCGTTCTCCATCGTAACATATACGGCCTGCATGATCACGTTCCGCACGTATGTTCGTGCATTCGCCTGAGCACGCTGTACGACATTCCTTCAGAGGTCTAACCAATTTACCAGGGCAACGAGTACACGCACGTCTTGCAAATACCTCGTCTGGTAGATCGTCTCCAGAGGTTACGGTAGGTTACGGTAGGTTCGTGTTACGCCTTGCATAGTGTTACGGTAGATTCGCCCGGCGTTGGCAAGTTGGCGATTCGTGCGAAGGCGTCCCAGGTCGAATTGTGCGACGCGGAAGCACCGATGGACACAGCAACGCCACTGGACTCGATTGAATTTGGCCTTGAACGATCAGGGCCACGATGGATTCAAAGTTGAACGATCGACGCGGTGTCCCCAGACCCCCGACGTCGTAATTGTTCCACAACGTCGGCCCCCAAAGGTTTGGACCCCTTCCCCATGACCGTTTTTTTATCCTGAGTCGTTGTGTTGACGGTCCCCGGGCCCAGCAAGGGCCTCTGGAAGCCGAACAATTGAGACAAACTTCCCGCCGTGATTCTGCTCGCAACGCGACGGGGTCTGGGCCAAAAGCCTTTGCGCGCGCCAGCGCCGCAGGAACCTACCGTCGGCGTCACCCCAAAATACCCATACTATATGTGCGTCGCCCCCCTAGGGGCGACGCGCGCACCGAGAAATCTTATCGTATCTGCGCCGTGGCGGGCGCTCTCTGGCCACGCTGCTCGGGAAACGACATGCTACAAGATGGGCCTACTATACGGTTACAGTACCAGTTACCAGTCTGTCTTTGTGCGTCCCAGCGTGATTTTTTCGCGGCGCGACGGGGTCTGGGTCAAAAAGCCTTTGCGCGCGCCAGCGCCGCAGGAACCTACCGTACGCGAATCCCGACGTGCAGGCTCGATCGACGTGCCGCAGCCTGCGGCGGAGCAGGGCGGCCTCCCGCGGGGACGGCGCATGGCCCCCTCGGCGTCCGGCCCAGGAGGAGAACATCTAATACCAGTTACCCGTCTGTTGTTGCGCGCGCCATACCGTGCAGTCGGCCCAGATTAGCAGGTCGACCTTGCCGAATTAAGGGTACCCTCGTGTCCTGTGCCTCGCGACCCGTGCTTCCTTTCCTTTCCTGTGGCATCCCTGGCCCTCGGAAGGGTCTTTGTGTCCTCTCGCGTGCCCTGCCCAATCGAGTCCGACCGTACGCGAATCCCGGCGCGCAGTCTCGCTTGCCGCGCCGCAGCCTGCGGCGGAGCAGGGCGGCCTCTCGCGGGGACGGCGCCACGGCCCCCCTTCTCGGCGTCCGGGGCCCCCCGAGGGTACGCCGTCGGGGCCCCCGCGGGGGCGCTGCGCTCCGAGGCCCGGCCGCCTCTCGAGGGCGAGGCGAAGCCGGGCCCAGGCCCCCTCGCGCTGCAAGACAGAGTCGCGTCGGGAGGTCTTCGGCGGGCCCACAGCGCGTGGTACAGTCAAGAACCCGGATAAGGACGCGCGACTTTGCTCAGGGTTCCCTTGCGTCCTTGCTCGTCCCTGCTCTTGCGTCCTTGAGGTGTTCGTCGCCCGCCGCCCCCAAAATCCCAACTTCGGCTCCCAAGGGTCTTGCGTCCTTACCACGCGTCCTTATCAGGGATTTCAATTGTAGAACAAAGTCTTTGCGTTGCAAATTAGGTCACGACGCGTTGCAGAACAAAGTCACGTGTTCGGCCTCCGCGGGCCCGGATGTCCTCTGTGTGGTTTCGGCCGGCGGAGGGTCTGACGTTCTTGAGGGGTGTTCTTCTGGCCCGGGTCCGACTGTACCAGGGCTCGCCTCGAGGGCGAAGCGAAGCTGAGTTCCCCTTGGCATCGCTCGGACGTGTGATTTTTCATCGGCGAGGGCCATCTGGGAGCATCTAAGATCATCATGCGTTAGTTACACGCACGAGCCTGCAAAATGCACGCTGGATAGACGCCCGAGCGATGGCAAGTTTCTTCGCACGTCAACACCGAACCTCTGGCATGGATCCGACAGCGATTCGTTCGGAGTTCGGGCCGCGAGATCGCGCCTACATGATGCCTCGGGAGTCCCAAAGTGGGGCCACAGACGCGATAAGCAAGTTTCGGTTCGACCCTTAGATTGTTGATGCTCGATTCCCGAACGAGGGGCTTCTTCGAGTTCGGGCCGCGAGACCGCAGGCGCCGCCCAGCTAGCACTTGATGCGCTGCCTTCGGCGCCCTCCGATGAGAGGCCTCCAGGAGGGCAGAATGGCAGCGGCCGGCGTTATCCCTTTCCCGATTACGCCCCCTCCCTCCTCCTCCTCCTCGTCCTTCTCCCTCTGAGGCTCCTCGTCGTTGTGGTCCTCGTCGTGGCGTCATAAGACCTCAGGATGCCTGCCTCTCCTGCCCTTTCACGTCCTCCTCTTCCTCCGCTCTCCTTCACCACCTCTCTCCTTCACATCCTTTCCTTTCCTCCGTCCTCCCTCCCCTCTCCCCCTCTCCAGCTCCTCCTTTCATCCCTCCCTCCCCCCACCCTGCTCCCTCCCTACTCCCTCCCTGCCTCCTGCCTCCCTCCTCCCCCTCCATCCTCCCTCCGCCTTCTCCTTCTCCTCCTACTCCTCCGCCTCCTCCTCCTTCCCTCCTCCCATCTCCCTCGCTCGACCTCCTCCTTCTTTCTTCCTTCTCCTCTCCTCCTCCTCCTTCTCCTCCTCCTCGTCCTCCTTCTCCTCCTGCTCCTCCTCCTCCTCCTTTTCCCTCGCCCCTCCCTGCCCCTCCCCTCCCTCGCCTCCGTGCCCCCATCGCCTCTGCACGCGGAGGCGTTCGACCTGCGCCGCGCCCTCGTCTTCCGGGGGGAAGTCGCAGGAGCACCGCGGCGCGGCCTGGCTGCGGCGCGATGGGGAGGTGCGGGTCGTCGTCGATCCCCGTCGAGGAATCGGGGGATCGAGGACCCAGATTTCCGACGCATTGAGAAGTGGCACCCGGAGGATTTTCATTGTTCTCCGCCACTGGAGATCCTCGCCGGGCCCCGGGACCGTGAAGAAGCGGCTCGGGGCGCAAAACCGGCCCTGGGGAAGGGGTCCGGGCATCTGGGGGCCGCGAAGTTCGGGATGTCTTCGAACCTTCCCCTCGAGATTCTGGTCAGCGCGCAGACCCTGGACAGGTCTGTGGGGTCGTCGGCGTCGGCGTCGTCGTCGCGGTCCCGGACGAGGGGGCTGGCTCCGCCGGCGGCGGCGCCGGCCGAAGCAGAGGCGGGCGCCACGGGGGGGCCTCGGCAGTGCTGGGCTCGGGGCGTGCAGCACCCTCCCTGCAGGCCAGCCGCAGCTGGGGGAGCCGTGGTCCTTACCCCCCCGGGGGTCCCATCGATGGCGACGCGCCTCTCGAGAGGTCGTCGATGCGGTGGGTCCCCCCCGCGGGGGCAGCTCCCCAGCGGTGGCTGGTCGGGTGCAGCACCCTCCCCGCGTGGCAGGGGGCGTCGGCGAGCCCGGCGAAGGCGAGGCGAGGGTTTCGAATTCCTGGCCCGCGCGTGCCCCGCGGCGGGGGTTCCCCTGGCATCGCTCGGGCGTGTGTGCGAGCATCCTGGGCGGAGGCCATCGAGGAGCATCCTGCATCAAGTCGGGCCTGTCCCTCTACAGGAGGAATATTCAAAAGTTGTGAACAATAGTCTGGAGACGATTTTTTGACACTTTTGAATATTTTAGGGTATGTTTGACTATCCTGCATTTTTCGTCCAAAATCCCTCTGTAGGGGGACAGGCCCGACTGAAATCCTGCAGGATCAGGCCAAAGAAACACTCGCGAAGGCGAGCAAGGCACAGAGGACGGACGTGCGACCGACAACGAGTTCCAGAGGGGGCCCTCCCTTCAAGCAGTGGCGGAGCGTCACGGCTTGCGTCCGAATGTTCGGAGGACCTCCCGTGGCCTGCACTGCTTCTAGAGCATGTCTGGCTGAGAGCGTTGTGCTTCAGCACGTCGGCTGCATGCTCTAAGAACGTTGCTTTTGTTCTATGAGGCATTGCTTTTGTTGTACGGACACTCCAGGGTACGCCTCTGGTCAGGAGGGAAAACACACACAGGCACAATTAATCATCGACTCCCAGGAAAACATGCGAAACTATGGGCAGTGGGGGGGACGGCGAAAACCCCAAACATATGCAAACACATGGGGAATTTGGTTATTTGTGTATATTCATACATACATATATATATATATATATATATATATATATGTATGTATGTATGTATGTGTATGTGTATGTGTATGTGTATGTGTATGTGTATGTGTATGTGTATGTGTATGTGTATGTGTATGTGTATGTGTATGTGTATGTGTATGTGTATGTGTATGTGTATGTGTATGTGTATGTGTATGTGTATGTGTATGTGTGTGTATGTGTGTGTATGTGTGTGTATGTGTGTTCCAGGGCACCTTCATTTAGGAATGTCGGGACGGCCAGTCCCTGGTCAACGCCCGAGGTCGCGCGAGCCGCCGCGGCGCTGGCGGGCATCCCTGGCGGGCATCCCTGGCGGGCGGCCCTGGCTCGCGGCCCTGGCGGGTGGCCCTGGCGTCCTTGTGAGGTCGAGCGGCGGATGCGGCCCATGTGCCGCATGGTTCTAGGCTTCCCAGGTAGGATCGGAGTGCATTTTCACTGTGAGCACGCGGCTTTTGGTGTTGCAGAGCTGGCTTGCTGAGGCCCGCTTCCCATTCGGTTGCTGGCTGTGTCGCCATACCTTGTGTGTAAACGGCGAGGCTGGTCTGGGACATGACCAACAACCTAGATGGACCGCATCACCGACGCATCGGCGATGAGGCCCGATGGAGAGCCAATTTTTCTCCGCGCCGACGTCACCGATGCATCGCCGACGTCGCCGATGCATCGGCGACGCACTGGCGACGCATCGGCGATGTGGCGCGACCCATCCAAACCCGTCTACTGGGACCCCAGCTGGGAGGCCACTGGTGGTGCATGGCACTCCGCGGCGCGGGCGGGGTTGGTGGCAGCCTGGGTGGGTGGGTGGGGAGGGGGGGCAGGGCCGCTGGGAGGCGACGGTCACTGGCAGGCCTGGGGGCGGGGAGTTGCTGCTGGGCTCCTGGGTGTGCGGTGGGCGTCGGGGGCGTGGCGGGGATGTGTATGCCTGGACGGGGGCCGCTCGCTCCCAGTGGGGCGGGCAGGCAATCGAGGGGAGGGGGGAGGAGGGGGGGGGGAGGGACGACGGGGCAAGGAGGGAGGAGGAGGAGGAGGAGAAGGAGTGGCGCAGGGGGGGAGCAGAAACGGGGTCCCCACGAAGGCGTTTGGACGCTCCCTTGGCCCACGGCCCCAGCAAGAGCTCCCCCCAGTGCCCAGGTACCAAGCGTCCCAAAGCCTCCTCCCCGGAGCCTTGAGGGTCGAGGGCAATGCTCTGCCGCGACGGCGACGACGACGACGACGACGACGACGACGACGACGACGAGGACGACGACCACGACGACCACGAACGACGACGGCGACGACGGCGACGACGGCGACGGCGACGGCGACGGCGGCTACGACGGCGGGGCCGTCGCCGCAGCCCGCGAGCGAGCGTTGCAGCCCATGGGGCGACGACGGCGGCGAGGACGGCGGCGCCGCTGGCGAGGGCGCCGGCGGGCGGCGAGGGCGGCGCAGCGGCGGCGGACCCGCGGCAGCGGCGGCGGACCTGCGGCAGCGGCGTGCCGCCGGCAGGAGGCGCCTCGAGCCTGGACGCGGTGCGCGAGAGCGCCCAGCGGCTGCGCTCGCTCGCGGGCTGCGGCGTCGGCCCCGCCGCCGCCGCGCAGTCGTCGTCGCCGTCGCCGTCGTCGTCGTCGTCGTCGTCGTCGTCGTCGTCGTCGTCGTCGTCGTTGTCGTTGTCGTCGTCGTCGTTGTCGTCGTCGTCGTCGTCGTCGTCGTCGTCGTGGGGCGTTCCAGAAACCTTTTTTGTCTTCGGCAAAGTTCGCCGTCGGCGGAAGCTGGCGGACGGCTGGCGGAAGCAAAACGGCGGTTGGGGTCGCTGGCGGAAACCGGCGGCAGGCGAAGGAAGTGAACGTGATATGTCAACATTTTGAATGTCGGATTTCGGAAGTCGCCCACGAGTCGTGGCCCGTATGCACTTCCACGTGAATGCAGCAGTGGCCGCCCCCAAAAGCTTCGTCTTGGAGATACCGGGGCGAGCTTACAACACAAATGCATGGTTTTCTGGTGATTTTGACGCGCCCGCGGGTTACATGCGCGTATGGACCGCGCGATGTGATGAACATCCGTTCAAAATGTATTTCTTCGATCAGCGTGCGCGCAACGCGTGGTACAGTCGAAACCGATGGTAAGGTAGCCTTCCCAAGGATACCCTTGCATCCTTGCCTCCTCGGTTCATCCGTAAACCCTTTCGATGGCCCGCCGCGCTCGAAAACACTTTCAGGGTGTCCCAGGAGCTTGCATCCTCATCGCCCATCCTCAGATTGTATTTCTCAGCAGGGCTGACGGGGACAAGTTGATAGCGGTTGTTTGGGATGCTGCGACTTCATGAAATCTGGGATGGATCATCACGCAGAACCGATTTTTGCAAGGCCAGTGTCCGGGTGGGTGCCATTAGATCCAACCCCTGGCATGGGGGTCGAGTCTAATGTTTGATCCCGGGCCCTGGGCCAGGCTGCAGGCCAACCAACGGGCCCTGTCTTCAAGATGGGGTGGGTCCCAGGGCCCCTCGCCCCCCCCCCCACGATTGGGGGGACGACGACGACGCCGACGACGACGACGTCGCCGACGCCGACACCGTCGCAAACGCCGACGCCGCTGCCGACGCCGACCCCGACGACGACGCCGTTGCCGACCGACGCCGACGCCGACGACGACGACGACGATGCCGCCGACGCCGACGACGACTGACGACGACGGGGCACCGCGGCACCACGCCGTTCCCGCGGGGGGGGGGGGGCTGAAGGCATCAGCAGGGCAGGGGAGGCCCCCCCGACCCTGCAGCACGTCTTCCTGTGAACTCCCGGCGGCGCGCGAGGCGGCGACGGCCTGCGCCCGAGCGAAGCCTCGGAAACCCCAGCGCGCGCGCACGAGGTGGCCACGCGCGGCGAAGGGGCGAAGCCCTGGAAGCGGCAGCCAGCGCCGGAGGCAGCCACGTGGCCGCTGCGGCGAGTGGCGACCCGCTTGTGGCATCCTCGAGCCCAGTCATCAGGGCGCAGCCGGTCTTGCACAGAGGAGGAGGAGGAGGAGGAGGAGGAGGAGGAGGAGGAGGAGGAGGAGGAGGGGGGAGGAGGAGGAGGAGGGCAAGGAGGAGGAGGAGGAGGAGGAGGAGGAGGAGGAGGAGAGGAGGAGGAGGAGGAGGAGGAGGAGGAGAGGGGAGCTCCGCAGGCTCGCGCGGGCGCTACAGCGGACCGCAAGCGGCGACCGTGCGACCTCCCCGAGGACACCCTGCCCAGCGCAAGAGGTGGCAACGGGCGGCGGACGGGGCGAAAACTTCGAGGAGCGCCAGCCAATCAAGCAGCGGAGCAGGCGAGAACCCCCCCCCACTGCAGCACTGCAGGCACTGTTCCCCACAGAGGGGTCTCGACCCATTCCCGGCGACCCACAGGGGTCTCGACCCCCGGCGTCATGATTTTTGTTCACGACGTCAACCCCCAGGGGTCTCGACCCCTTCCCTGGGACTGGCTCTTCATCCCGGAGTCGTCTTTTGACGGCCCCGCGGCCCGGGAAGGGCCCCCAGAGGCCGGACATAGTGAAAAACCTCGCGTCGTGATTTTCTCGTTGCTCCAGGGGGAGGGGGTCTGGGTCTGGGGAGCGCCAGAGGTCATGGGGTGTCCCCGTGGGCCCGTGGGATGAAAAATATCCACGCTCGCTGCCTCGCGGGCCGGGCACCCCTGGGCCGCGACACCGTGGGCACGGGGCGTTCGCCCCGCCCGGGGCGCAACTGCCTCGGCGACCGCGTGTCCAGGGGATCGCGCCCTGGAATCCAGACCGCACAGGCGTGGACAGTGATCGTTCTCTTATGCATCGTTTTGCCGATCGGCGCGGGCCCCAGAGATCCAACGCAGTGAAAAGATCACGACGGAGTTGTTTCGCAGTCGTCGGCTACTTGGAGCCCATCCCCTGCCCCGGGACCGTCAAATAACGATCAGGATAAAAAACCGGTCCACGGGAAGGGGTCGAGATTTCTGGGGACCCCACATTGACAAAAATCACGACATCGCATTTGGGGCCTTCGCACCCACCCTTCCCCCCCAATGGAGTAGATCTTGGCTGTTTTTGGCGGCCGTTTCGAGCAGGTGGGACCTCCCCCTCTAGGACGCACTGTTGCAAACAGCCGCATTAAGCAGAGGTCTGAAGCCAGACCCCCCCCGTCCCCCCCCCTTCCGCACAATGTCGAAACGCCGAATACGGCGGGAGCGTTGGTTCATCAATTTTGTCATGAGCCTTCAGACCCTGGACCATTCCTTATCGGATGAGGGCGGCGGTGATATCCATGGCCAGTCCACGATTGGAGTTACCCCAGCTTCCAGACCCTTGATTCCTTCCAGGGGTTCCTTGTTCAATGCCCTCACCTAAAAAAAGAACGTTCACATGTGGATGCGTTCGCTTCTCGTGATGGCCCCGGCATCTGCGGACATGAACTTTTTCCCATCCGCGGCCCCCTGGGCCGTACCTGGGGCCCGGTGGTGAGCCCCGGGGGCGGAACGTGAGGAAAAGCGCCGAGGCTGAACGAATCAGATCGTCGGATATCAGGGTGCCCAGAGATGCGATGTCGTGATTTGTTCGATACGGGGTCCCCGGAAGTTTCGACCCCTTACCCAGCACCAATGTTTCATCCTGAGTTGGTTTTGTTGACGGTCCCGAGGCCCAGGAAGGACCCCTAGAGGCCGAAAATTGTGAACGACTTCCGTCGTGATTTTTCACCACGTTGGATCTATGGGTATGGCCACCACTCGTAGACCCCCAGAGGTCTCGACCCATTCCCAGGGGCCAGCTTTTCGTCCTGGGCCGTTTTTGGTGACGCTCCCGAGGCCCGGGAAGGGCTCCTAGAGGCCGAGAGCTGCGAAAAGAGCCAGGAGGAAAAAACACACACAGACTCAATGAATCGTCGACTCCCAGGAAAATATGGGAAACTATGGGAAGTGGGGGGGGAAGACAAAAACCAGAAAATATGGGAACATACGGGGAATCCTGTTATTTGTGTGTACTTATTTGTGTGTCCCAGGGCCCCTTCAAATAGGCCGAATATGGCGAAGCACCTCCCGTCGTGTTTTCCCACAGCGCCAGGGGGTCTGGGTCGGGCCACCACCTCGTGGCAGAGGCCGCACGCGCCTGCAGGGCCCCCGCGGCCGGGGCGCAAGGGCAGCTTCGGTTGCCCGCCGCACGGCCAGCCAGGCCAGTGGGAGTGCCTGCTCGTGCGCGGGGTGCGGGGCCTGCTGCTGGTGGTGGTGCCGCGGGAGGAGCGCGGCGCCGCCTTCCCTCCGGTGCGGCTCGGGCCCCGGGAGACCAGGACACATCCGGACCAGGGCACGGGAAGTCAAGGGAGCGGCACCCTGTCCTGCAGAGTCACAGGTTTCAGCAGGGTTTGATTGCTGACCTGCAGGGTTCGGGGATGCGTCCGGGTTTGGGGGGGGGGGTCTGGCAGGCTTGCCGGGCCTGTGTCTGGGCTTCTTCTGGAAATGCTGCAGTGCAGTATTTTGTTAGTGCCGCCGTCTGGCAAAACTGGTTTCGAGGGCTGCTGGTCCGGGTCTAGAATGTCCGGGCTTACGGTTAAGTCGGGCCTGTCCCTCTACAAGCGGAATATTCCAAAAGATAGTATCAAACATAGTTTGGGACGATTTGTTTCAAACTATGCTTGAGCAGTTTTGGTGTACGTGTTGACCATTGGGGGATGCATTTCTCGGTGCAATTTTTGGTGTACTTTTACGTGCAAGGTCCGCCTCTAGGGGGACACGCCCGACTCGAGCTTCCGGGGCCCTGAGCGGCTCGCTGCCGATGCCCGACCGATCGGCGCCACCCGGTCCCTTCCTTCGGCCAGGGCGGCCTCTGCTCGGGGGGGGGGGGGGGGCCCACGTCGAACGTGGTCCTCCTCCTCCTCCTCCTCCTCCTCCTCCTCCTCCTCCTCCTCCTCCTCCTCCCTCCTCCTCCTCCCTCCTCCTCCTCCTCCCCCTCCCCTCCTCGCCCCCCCTCCCCCTCCCCCTCCCCCCCCTCCCCCTCTCCCCTCCTCCCCCCCCTCCTCCTCCTCCTCCTCCTCCTCCTCCTCCTCCTCCTCCTCCTCCTCCTCCTCCTCCTCCTCCTCTTTTTCCTCCTCCCCGCGGGCTTGGAGGCTCGGAGGCCTCGAGGGTCGGGGCCTCCCAGGGTCCCAGGCCCAGGGGTTGACGCCAACACCAAGGTCGGCGGTGTGCCTCCACCGAGGGAAGACCATCCTGATCTCGGCGATGGTGGTAGGATTCCGGCTTCCAGGGTGACCCGAACAGTGCCACCAACGCCGAGATCCAGGATCAGCTTCCCCATGCGGAGGCAAGCCCCTGTGCTGGTGTTGGTGACAATTTCCAGGCCTCCAGCAGGGGCCTTGCCGGGGTCCAGGGCAGTCAAGAAGTGCTCGAGGCGGAAGCTGGTCCCGTGGAAAGGGTCGGGAGCTCAGGATCGGCGGCGAGCGAGGGGGGGGAAGCGGGAGGGAGAGGGCCTTCTCAGAAGGCGGCGGGGATGCTTTTTGGTGTCCGCGGGGGAGGCGTATAGGAAATTGCTCAGAAGGCCGGAGGGCCTCCGAGCCTTCTGAGAGCACCTTCTCCTGATCGTTTCTCCCCCACCATTCAGAGGGGATGTAAAAAACACACAGACACAATTGATCGTGGATTCCCCAGAAAATATGGGGAAATATGGGAAGTGGGGGGGGGAGACAGGAACCCTGAAAATATTGGAAACTATGGGGAATCCGGTTGTTTGTGTGTATTTATGTGTGTGTGTGTGCCCCTGGGCCCCATTCCATCCTTGCCTCCCCTCGCTCGCCGCCGACCAGAGGCCCTCTTGGAAAAAGCAGGGCGTCGGATCTCTGGGGCCAAAAGCCCGCCCGGTCGGCGGGGCTTGCCTCAGTCGAAGGCGCCGCGCGGCGACGGGAGGCCCATGAGTTCCCATGCCAAGAGCCAGGAGGGAAAAAGCACACAGACACAAGTAATCGCCGATTCCCCAGAAAATATAAGAAAATATGGGACGTTGGAGGAAGACAGGAAACCAGAGGATATATGAAAAGATGGGGAATCCGGCTATTTGTGTGTATTCATTTGTGTTTCCCAGGACCCCTTCAAAGAAGTTCGCTCCAAGGGTGCCGTCGCGCGGTTGAGGCACATCGCTTTATGTAGCGCTGCTGTCGACGCCGCCCTTGTTGGCAAGCGACTCCCTCCGACGGGGCCGGCTCGCGGCTGGCGCAGATCTTGTTGTCTGCGTTGTCGTGCGGTTGCGGCACGTGGCTTAATTGTTCTGAATTTCACATACTAGGGTGGTCTGATTCGGGATGGGGTTCTGATTTGAGCTGTTCGGGAGGGTTCCAATGGGTCTGGGCAAACGGCCGCCCTATCGTGGCTGGCTTGGGGGGTTCGGAAACGGCCCGCCTTCATCACGGAATCGAGAGCAGCGTTGTTGGCAGCAGGCTCGTTGCGAGCCAGCAGGCTCGCAGCTGCCGCAGGTCGTGCTGTCGGCGTTGCCGCCCGGACAGGGTCTCCGAGCGCGTCGGCTCGCTTCTGGCGCGTGTGCGGCAGCGGTGCTGCCAGTGCTTCCCCCCAAACTCCGCGCGAGCTTGCCCGCTCACTGTGTCGGCAGGAAACTCGCGCCGATCAGAGGTCAAGTCGAGAAGAGCATGTACGATGCCATGTCTAGCCACAGTCCGCTTCATCCTGGGACCTCTTGGCTGTGCCCCAAGGAGAGGGGCTATGCAGTTTCCCTGTTCAATTGCCAACTTTTTTCCCAAGCAATGTTTTCACATTGGGATTCTCTTTTGTGTTACTACGAAATCGGATGAGTCGCCGAGGTTTCGCCGCGCCGCCGCCCGTGGCCGCCTCGTGGCCGCCTCGTTGCCGCCGGCTTCTTGGATGAGTCCGTTGAGCTTTCCCCGCGTCGCCGCTCGTGGCAGCCTCGTGGCCGCTTCGTTGCCGCCCTACTTCGGGGGCCCGCCGATGGTTCGCCGCCTCGCCGCCCGTGGCCGCCTCCTGGCCGCTCCGTTGCCGCCCGCTTGTGGGGTCTGCCGAGGTTTCGCCGCGTAGCCGCCCGTAGCCGCCCCGTTGCCGCCCACTTCGGGTTTCCGCCAGGGTCTCGCCACGTCGCCGCCAGAGGCCGCCTCGTGGCCGCCTCGTTGGCGCCTGCTTCGGGTGTCCGCCGGGGTTTCCCCGCGCCTTCCGCCCGTGGCCGGCTCGTGGCCGCCTCGTTGCCGCCCATTTGGCGGGGTCGCGGGGGCTGTGCCGCGCCGCCGCCCGTGGCAGCCTCAGTGCCGCTTGGCGCGTTCGCCAAGGATTCGACACGTTGCCGACCGCTGCCGCCTCATAGCCTACATGGCGTAGGTTCTCTTTCTAGAACAAGTAGGTTCTACCCCCCACTCCCCCCCCTCAGCCCCAGGGTTAAATATTCCCCTCTTCGTATTGCAATTTACACGTGATTTTGGCCCATCGTCCATCCGAGCTGTGAATTCAGAGTGCCCCAGCCAAGCCGGTGTCGCCCCTCCCGCCATCCTCTGCAAAACGTACTATGCGCGCACATTCGTTGATCGAAAATCACAAGTTTGCAAGAATCCCTGGCAAACAAATCGGACGAGGTGCACACACGCGCGCGTCGTCGCGCGCGCATGCCGAAATCGAGTGTCGAAATCGAGTGTGCCGAATGTCGCTGTCGCGGTTTCGGAAGGATTTCAAAATCGAGTGTCCAACAAACATACAAGCATCATGTTTTCGCAACACGGATTTCCAAAACAAATTTGCGCGCGTTGTCGCGAATTCTTAAGACAAGCTATAGGTTTTCAACATTTTCCGAACATGCTACCAAACGGGCTTCGCGCGCGCATGTCGAAATCGTTCGGACGCCCTTGCGCGCGTGCTGGGGTGGCACGATCCGTGTCAAATAACACCATGCGGGCCACTCTCGCGCGTCTGCCGCGCGCGCATTTCGAACTCCTCCCAAAACCTTCATCACCGACGCGAAGACGCCGTCATCGTCGTCGGCGTGATCAGCATCGGCGCCGTCACTGGCTGCCCCGTCGTCGATGTCAGCATCGTCACTTGCATCACTACTATTATCATTGTGTCTACCGTTGTCGACGTTGCCATGATACCGCGCCTTCCCAATTCGCCGATTCGCATTGAAGTGCCGTTGGAATATGTCGAGCGGTCAGCGTCACCGTGTTCGCGCCGGTCGCGCCAAACTAGCTAGCCGCTGCGCGCGTGAACATGCGCGGGCTAGCGCGGCCGCAGAGATGCACCAGCCATCACCAAGCACTCATCGCAATCGCTGCCGCATGGGTGCATGGGGTTTTCAAACCAAGTTGCGGGTGGGTGGGTGGGATGTCTGCGCGAGCAATGGAGTGGACAATTTCAAGTTAAGCAAGTGGTCGTTTGCACACCATAATTTGCACCACCTAGCTTACACCACGTAGTTCGCACATTGCACATCCTCAGCGCAATCGCGTACATCCGATGGTGTCAAAGTAAACAACCATTTTCCGCCGCCAAGGAACTTCGCTCGATCACCTCATGTTGTCAAGTTGTTCTGGGACAAGGTAAGCGACTCATTTGTGCGTGAACCGTTCTGCACAGGGGTGCTCCCCTCGTGCCTGATGAGACGCCGCCTGGGAGCATCCCGCCCCTTGGCCTCCTTCGCCCTCGCGCGTGCTTCTCCATTGGCCCTTGCCGGTGGCCACGCCCGCAGGGCGAGGCGAATGAAGCAACAGACCCTGCCACATTGCCGGGGATGGCGGCCGATGCTCCGCAAGAAGGCGAGGGCGGACGCACCATTTTCGATGCCTCCCCGCATTCGGAGGAGCTGGAGGAGTATTTGAACGCGCCCCTGCCTCCTGTCCCAGCGCTGCTGCTGAGCTACGGCGTGACCTCTGTATACGCGCAGGCGGAGCGCGTGTTTCTTATTATCGTTCGCCTCCGCGGCCTTCCCCTCTTCCCCGCCTATGACTCGTCCTGCCTGTTCCCGCCCCCCGCCTCGTCATCCTCCTTCGATTGTTTCTACAGTTCGACCCGCCCTGCGCCAGCTTCATATCGTCGTATTGCGGTTCTCCGCAGAGCTGCCCACACACGGACTTGTCATTGTGTGTGAGGAGGGGGCTGGGGCTTGCTTGAAATGGACTTCTGGGTACACGTTCACACACACACACATCTATATATATATATATATATATATATGTAGATATGTAGATATGCGTGCATGTATACATAGATGTTGTTTCCTAATCCGAGCTTCCCAGCTGAACAACAGTAGCCAGAGCAGTCGTCAAGTCTGCGTTTTCGGTTCAAGCGATTTAGCATTTGATGGATTCCTCGTGCGATGGGCTGCTGCGGACGTATACGACCACCGACGATGGGATGGCAGTTCGATACTTCTCGTACAGACGATTGGGCCGCCATCGTGCTGTGGTCATA